TAAGCAGAGATAAGCAATTTGATTGGTTGATGCTTTGGGACACGATAACTCTCTTCCTAATTGGGCTAGAATGTTCAAACTTGGTGTATGTGTTGATTAGGTCAATGCCTTGATGGAGTTCGAAGATGAGCATTTTCCGCTTAGGGTAAGCAGAGATAAGCAATTTGATTGGTTGATGCTTTGGGACACGATAACTTTTAATTGAGCTAGAATGTTCAAACTTGGTATATGTGTTTATTAGGTCAATGCCTTGATGGAGTTCGAAGATGAGCATTTTCCGCTTAGGGTAAGCAGAGATAAGCAATTTGATTGGTTGATACTTTGGGGCACGATAACTCTCTTCCTAATTGAGCTAGAATGTTCAAACTTGGTGTAGGTGTTGATTAGGTCAATGCCTTGATGGAGTTCGAAGATGAGCATTTTCCGCTTAGGGTAAGCATAGATAAGCAATTTGATTGGTTGATGCTTTGGGACACGATAACTTTAGTTCTAATTAAGTGAGATTGATGAAACTTGGTGTATAGTTTCATTACAGTAATACCTTGACTAAGTTTGATAATGAGCATTTTCTGCTCAGGGTAAGCAGAGCGATACGCAATTTGATTGGTCGAGACTTTGGAAAACAATAACTCTCCTACTTTGATTGTTAGACTATAAGTAAAGATATACTGTTTGATTGTTCAATACTTTGTAAAAGATAATTTGTGATAAATTTATATGTGTCCTCTAATTATTTTCCTATTTCGGCGGGGGACATCAGCCTCACTGTTGGCTTGTTTGACTTAAATCATGGAGGTTATATATATCTATATAATCCCATATAATTAATCATTGATGACGTAATTTCCCACTGGATTTCATAGATTAAACAGGCATTAGGCAAGAGTTAAGTTGGCTGATTGAAGGTCTTTCTTTAGGCCTTAAATGTTATATTAACTATTAATTAGACATTTATTAACATAACAAGACCAATGGGTCCGATTTTAAACAAATTTGAATCTGATCTGCGATTCAACGGCTGTTGTTGATTAACTGTAAAAATGGATAATTAAGACTTTGTTTATTATTGTAACAACTGTAACACTGACGATCGGGGCTATTGTGTTATTGAAATGAGGTTTTCTTAGCTCAGAGTGAAGTAATTTGACTGAAATTTTCAGCATATTCTCTTTACGTTATCTGTTTTTATATGTCCATGGACGTCTGTTAGTCTCAATCTTTATACGCCCACATGGAAATGTGGTCGTATATTGCTGTAGTTCCTGTCCATCCGTCGTCCACAATTTCTTTTGAACACTCAGACTACATTTATCATCTGATTGTTTTGAAATTGGTGTTTACATTAGTGAGATGAATAAACCTATATAATTTCAATAATTTCTGTTAATTTCTTCTGGAGTTATGGTCCTTATTTCACTTTGTTGAACCTTGTGAACGCTCTAACAACAAAAGTTATCATCCAATTTGTTGTAAAATGGGCGTATGGAATTTATATGCATCATTTAGATTAGTGAAACAAAGAAGCCTATTGAGTTTCAGTAATTTCCGTTAATTACATCTAGAGTTATGGCCCTTGTTTCACTTTGTTGAACCTTGTGAACGCTCTAACAACAAAAGTTATTATCGGATCTGTGTGAAATTTATAATTATGCCTCATTTAAATTAGTGAAACGAAGAATCCTATTGAATTTCAGCAATTTCTGTTAATTACGTCGACCCAATTTCACTTTGTTGAACTTTGTGAATGCTCGAATAATGAAAGTTGTTTTCTGATCTTTATGAAATTTATATGCATCATTTAAATTAGTAAAACAAAAATCATATTGAATTTCAGCAATTTCCGTTTATTTCTTCTGGAGTTATGACCCTTGTTTCACGTTGTTGTACCTTGTGAATGCTCTAACGACAAAAGTTATCATCCGATCTGTACGAGATTTACACAGATCATTTAAATTAGTGACACAAAGACTCCTATTCAATTTCAGCAATTTCCAATAATTACATCTAGAGTTATTGCCCTTGTTTAACTTTGTAACCTTGTGAAAATTCAAATGACAAAAGTTATCATCTGATCTGTAAGAAATTTATATGCATCATTTAAATTAGTGAAACGAAGAATTCTATTGAATTTCAGCAATTTCAAATAATTACTTGTAGAGTTATGGCCCTTGTTGAACCTTGTGACCGCTTGAATGATGAAAGTTATCATCTGATCTGTATGAAATTTATAGGCATTATTTAAATTAGGGCAACGAAAAAGCTTATTGAATTTCAGCAATTCTATCAATTACTTCTAAATTTATGGCCCTAGTTTTACTTTGTTGAACTTGAATACATTCAAATGTCAAAAGTTATAATCTGTTCTGTATGAAATTTCAGTTTGTAGAACCATGTGAACCCTCAAACGACGAAAATTATCTGATCTTTATAAAATTGTCTTGTAAATAAATGCCTTGAAATATAGGTTTATTTCCAAAAGATCTTGGTTTCTTTCGATATTGGCATGTATTGGACCGTAACTTCATGGATTATGACCCTGATTGTACGAAAAATCACATTTTGGGCTTGTGGAAACTCTAGAGGTCACAATTTTTATCCGATTTAAAAAAACGTTTGAATATATCACTGTTACACCATAATGATGTTTGAGTTTGAATTTCACGCATATTGGACCGTAACTTCCTGGATTAGGGCCCCCGATTGTACGAGAAATCACATTTTTTTTAGCCTGTGGTTCTCTAGAGGTCCCAATTTTTATACGCCCACATTGAAATGTGGTCGTATATGTGGTCGAGACGAAGAAGCCTATTGATTTTCAGCGATTTTCGATAATTACTGCCAGAGTTATGGCCCTTGATCACTTCAAAAAATCTTGTGGACGCTCTAAACGTCAAAGTTAATATTCGATTGACTTTAAATTTATACACAGTGTTTAAGGTCATGAGACGAAGAAGCCTATTGATTACTGCCAGAGTTATGGCCCTTGATCACTTCAAAAAATCTTGTGGACGCTCTAGAGGGCCAAATTAATATCCGATTGACTTTAAATTTATGCACAGTGTTTAAGGTCATGAGACGAAGAAGCCTATTGATTTTCAGCGATTTCCGATAATTTTTGCCAGAGTTATGGCCCTTGATCACTTTGAAAAATCTTGTGGACGCTCTAGAGGCTAAAGTTAATATCCTATTGACTTTAAATTTATACACAGTGTTTAAGGTCTTGAGATGAACCAGTATATTTATTTTCAATGAATCTTTATGACTTGAACAGCTAAATCCATGATGTTAAAAGTTTTGTATACTAAACGTTAGCATGGGGCAGAACTTTATAAAAACCAAACAAATTCTAAAGTTTTTCTGATAATTACTTAATGAGTTGTTACTCTTAATCAGATTTTAATGTATAATAAATGTTTCATTACCGAAAAAAGTACAAATATGTGACAACTCTTGTTGACTGCCCGGACGATATACCTGCTTTGGGCGTATGTTTCGTTGCCTGGCAACCTATCTTTATCTGAATTTAAAAAAACATTCAACTATATTAACCTTACACCACAATCATCATAATTAACTGTCAGACAAAATTGCCGCTGCTTTTCCGCAAATAGTGTTAAAGTATGTTATATCAAGGTTGATGCAACGTAAAACATGGGTATCCCAAAGATTTCCGTTCCTTTCGATATTCCCGCATAACGGACCATAACTTCCTAGAAAGTGGCCCCTGATTTTACGAAAAAATCATGATTTAAGCCTATGGACCCTCTAGAGGTCACAATTTTTATCCGATTTTAAAAATCATTTAAATATATCATTGTTACACCCAGATGATGGTTGAGGTTGAATTTGTCCGACAAAATAGTGTAAAAGTATTAAATACCAAGGTTGTGGTATGTGGACCCTCTAGAGGTCACAATTTTTATCCGATTTTGATGAAACTTAGAATAAATGTTTAACCCAAATATCTCTGTTCTTTTCGATATTCGCGCATATGAGACCATAGATTCCTAGTTTATAGCCCCTGATTGTACATAAAATCACAATTTTAGTTTGTCACAATTTTTATCCGATTTTAAAAACCATTTGAATATATCACCGACTCACCATTACACCATAATAAAGGATTAAGCTCGAATTTCAGGAATATCGAAATAAAACTGCCAGACAAAATGGCTGCTCCTTGTATGCAAATACCCCCTTAGAGGTCACAGTTTTTGTCCAATTTTGATAAAACTTAAACTTAAAATAAATGTTTATATCCCAAAGATCTCTGTTCCTTTCGATATTTGTGCATTTCTAGAGGTCACAATTTTTATCCAATTTTGATGAAACTTAGAATAAATGTTTATCCCAGAGATCTCTGTTCTTTTCGATATTCGCGCATATGAGACCATAGCTTCCTAGGTTATAGCCCCTGATTGTACGTAAAATCACATTTTTAGTTTGTGAACCCTCTAGAGGACAAAATTTTTATTTGATTTTAAAAACCATTTGAATATATCACCATTACACCATAATAAAGGATTAAGCTCGAATTCCAGGAATATTGAAACGAAACTGCTGGACAAAATGGCTGCTCCTTGTACGCAAATACCCCCCTAGAGGTCACAGTTTTTGTCCAATTTTGATAAAACTTAAACTTAAAATATATGTTTATATCACAAAGATCTCGGTTCCTTTCGATATTCGTGCATTTGAGACCATAACTTCCTAGATTATTGCCCCTGATTGTACGAAAAATAACTCTTTTTGTCTTTAGCTTGTTCCCTATCCATCTCTTACAAAATCTTATCCATCTCTCGCAAAATCTGGGCATATCTTCCCTGGCAACCGCTGGTTTAACTATTATAACCAGAACTGTCAGCTCGTTATCTAATCTTCCGTAATGCCGCTTTAATTTTGTGGTGCAAGATTGTCAGTTGAAGATATTATTTAACATACATTCTTCAGTAGATTGTAACAAACAAAAATATTATAGTTGATTCACTCATGTTTTTCAGGCAGCAAAGTTGTTTAAATATATTGCAACTGTAAATAAGAAATGGCAGCCACTTTGTGATATTTTGTTTGTTATTTTTTTTATAATATGGATAGCTACACGATTAATAATATTTCCAGTTTGGTAAGTATTTGCAGAACCTCTAAAAATTTATCAACATTAAGTCTCTAGCAAAAATTTGTTCATTGATAAATTTATTTATATAAATCCTGTATGCTACTATTTAATCAGTATTAGTAAACAAACTTTATGGGACAGTCAACCATAACGTAAAAGCATTGCCTTTGATCCCTTTGTAACTCAAATCTGCTTGAAATTTATAAGCTATTTTCAGTTTCTTTACCTGGGAATATAAATTTTGAAGCTTATGACCAAGACATTACCTACACATGGAAGAATAATCTGCTTCATCACCTTGACATTTGTACAGTGAAAACATGATAAATACCTAGCACCAACAATAACAAATACTATGACATTTAGAAACATACTTTCGATACTTCCAAGTCCTTCATTCTGAATTTTTCGTTCTTTATTTTGGTTAAACAAACTACTGCTGCCACTCCAGGGATATTGTTGTATGATTGCAATATGGCTTCCTTTCCCAGCGTAGAATGGCAAAGGAGAGTGCTACTCTGAAATAAGTTCATACAATTTTACTGTACAATTGTATTCTGGTTGCCAAATTTCGGTAGTACAATCTTCTTTCTCAATAATATCCATCTGAAACCAGAGACTTTCTGATAATTAGTGGCAGAAAAGATAGGGCTTCACAATCTAAAATAGAGAGAATGGTATTTTAGTAACATTTATTTATTTTTCTAATTTCAGGATAATTTATAATACACTGTTTCTAGCTCCAAACTATTTTGGTTTTCCACCTCTATATTTCCTGATCAATTTTATGCTGGTTGCATTACAAATTCTTCATATATTTTGGTCAATTATAATTGGAAAGATAGCATGGAATGCCATTAATAAGGGGGGCGTAAGTATTAAAGCCATTGCTATTTGTGTAATCAAAAATTTTGACATACAGTGGACTGTCAAATCCGACATCGCTGCGATATTTGAGCGGTAAAAGTGCCCACAAGGACTAATTTCATACTTCCGCTTGAACAGTACTGTAGGTCATGTCTGTCATTAATTTATCTTCTTCGCACACTTGTCTTTGGTGTCAAGTGTTCATTGATAATCTGTCGTTCTATGTCCAGGTCGTCGCCACACGGTTCGGATAGATCCAACAGGTGTTTCCAACAGGTGCTAGGAATATTTTTACGACTGTGAATAATTCATGGGAAAATTTGTGGGTATTCTTGAGTATTTGTCACAACTATCTTACAAGAGATTATAAAATTATCAAAGTAATCACCAAAAACCTACGCGAGCGAGTTTGAATCTTGCCAATAATTGATTAGTGATTGCTTGTTAATCTTTTGTGGCTTCACACCCACCGATTGAAGGCCGGATTATACAGTGTTGATTCAATGGAAATCATGTGACGGGACGGCTGATGTGATTGATGTCATAATTCGGTATATTCAGAGTGCAGATTACTCTAAGATTTTTGGGTTGAAATAATAAGGAAATAAATCGGGACATGAAAATGATGTCGGATTTCACAGAGAGCCGGAGTATTCAGAGGTCTGATGTGGCAGAGTCCACTGCATAAACAATCTGATTAAGATTTGATGTTATTTAATTTGTTAGCTTGTGGATGATCTGCATGCTGAAAGTTATCATCCAATTGTATTGACATCCAATTGGATTGACAAAGTGCTTAATGTTCATGAGACTAAGAATTTCCAATCTTTACTGTTCAATTTTTATGAACTCATAAGGGCTAAAGCTGTCGTCTTGTATTCTAGAGTGTGTGTGAAAATGCCATCTGTGTGTTGCAGTCAAAGGTTGTAAAATTTCTAAGAAAAACAAATACACCTTTTCCAAGATCCATTCCCACAATTTGTAGAGATGAGGCAGAATAAATTGGGGACTCTCTATGAATAAGGTTAATGTCAGTAGACTCCCGACAATGGAGTAAAAGTTATGAACAAGTGTACTATTGATGGTATGCAGCAGACAGTGACATCATACTATGCTTTTTTTTTTTTATCAGATTGAGAAAGATGAAAGAAGTGACAGTGATATAGAAGTTTCTGGTGAAGAAGAAAACTCAAATAAACCAGAATTCATTATAAACGGTTCCCACAATCTACGGAGTAGAGTTACCCAACAGGAGAGTGTTAATAGCCATAAATAGTTCATACATGTAAATATGTGTCTGCTTGGAAAATACGCTTTGTCTTATTTTTTTGTTTCCTGTATGTATGTATATATATATATATATACACCACAGTGTATTGTTATCTAACTATTCATTGTTTTTATACCCCTACATTTAATGTGAATGTATATCGTTGTGTCCTCTATCCGTCATTCGCTTTCCATCCACAACGTAATGAATATTTTTCAAATTTGCAGGCATTGTCCAAGATCCCTATCTAAATTCAATGCTTCATGATGGCAATTTTTGACATTTTGTGAAAAAAGATAATGGTGACAGTTTTTGATGGAATTTTTCAAAATTTGGTGGAGTTGTTTATTAGGGACAGAGTTCTTAGTGGATTTTTGTTAATACTGTTCTGCATAATTTTTTGAAAATAATTTTCAAGTTATGACAGACCCTGCTGCTGATGGGTATAATATTGAACCTGTGCTGTTCTAGCATTAATGTTATTTTTTTATATATAAACTACGCACTATTAGGAATCACATTTATTATCTATGACAATTTTTGAAATGTTCATATAATGGCCATATAAGGCATGTATATAATTGTTATTATTTTTTTTAACCAATACCCCTTGTTTTTATTTACAATTCAGTTTTACTGCAAGTTAAAGAGATTTAATCTGGGTACTAATATTGAATTTGTTTGGATTGATTTGATGTGTTATTTTAATAAGTGATGGAAAAACTCTATGCAATTAGATTTTATTTACGTTCGTTTCATTTTTGACATTATGTTAACAGTGCAAACCAGGGTTCTTAATCCTTTTGAAATGAACCGGTCACGTGTAATGGATAGTCGTCTTTTCAACGACAGCCATGTTTGTTTGTCGTACTCTATTCACAACAATAATTTCATAACTGCATAAAATATTCAGAATAATAATTCCGAAAACTCTGAATAAACAATGCCTTGGCAATTGCATACTTGTATTCATACCTCGACATATATCGAAATTTATATTCAAAATTTCAGAAACTTGCATAATGCATATCCTACTTTTGCTTCCATCCTAACAAATAGATGTTATAATTTTGTAAAAAGAAAAACTACAAGTAAATATATATTAGTTTCTTTGATTATTTTATTTGTAAGTACATGTCAATATATATAAACAAATTAGTTTCCATGTATAGTCTGAAATAAGTTGTATGTACGAAAGATCTATACTAATGTCCAAAAGAAAGTATACACTGTCCATTTTGTGCTGCATCAACCAAAGTCGTTTTTCCATGGTATACGGTATTTGGGTAGAATGTCAATTTGTTTCACATTTTTATTTTGCTTAGAAATGTTGAGTTTGGACACAAGAGACCAACCCAGTAATGCTTTATCAAATGTTTTTAATCTAAACAAAACTTAGTCATACTTTTAGTGTGTATACTTTCTTTTGACCTCAGTATAGTTAATTTATTTTTAGATTATTTTATTTTCAGTTTTACCGGTATACAATTGTTGGGGTTTTAGATTAGTTTACTTTTGGTTTTACCAGCATACAATTGTGAATGGAAAGATGACAAGGGGGGAGCCATCCAGACTTATTCACATTAGCCAATCTAGATTCTCTACATTTAAATGACATCTAAGTTCTGTCTGGAAAATCACCTTTGCATTCAACACTGCTAACTGGTAGCATCCTCTTTATTTCCATAAGCTTCATCATATTTTGAAATTGATTTTTTAAACAACTGGTATGGCAGCTGACCAGTAAATCATCTGGCGTATAATGGGGCATTCCGATAAAACTGTGTTTGTTTTCAGTTTTAGAAAAATGTCTAGAATCACTTGTAACACAATATTCTTTGGTTTAAAAAAGGCAAACACGGAAAGAATTTTGTTGTCAAGATCAGATACACTGTCCACAACCCTAGTCGGGGATCACGTGGCTAAGTGGGTAAGACGCTGGCTCGCTAGCCTGGAGGTCGGGTGTTCAATCCCTGCATTGGCCGAGAAAGTTCATCCAGATTTTCCAGCGTGGTTTCCCCTTGTCAGTGATGCAGGGCGGAGGGCCTGACAAGGACAGCTGTTTAGTCGTTCGGATGGGACGAAAAACCGAGGTCCCGTGTACACATTGGCGTGCACGTAAAAGATCCCTTGCCAGTTGGAATTCAATATAAGGGTACGCCGTAGCGCCGCTGCCCGGGCAAAATTTCCCTCAGCACACTGTATGGCGTATGCCCGTCTTCATTAGCCCAGGTTAGGAGCAGAACAGTAGGACGTTAAACCCCATTTCATTTCCACAACCCTAGTCACTGTTTTTGTTGTTGCTGTTAAAAACCTGTCTACTGTCTGTCTCATACCCCCTTTCCCCAAGTGTAATACCTGTAACATTCTGCTTATTGCCCATTCAGATGGGGTGACAAACCGAGGTTCTGTGCACACATTGGCATGCACATAAAGAATTCTTGACAGTTGGAATTAGAAATAAGGCCGTAGTGCAGCTGTCCAGGCAAAGTTTCCCTCTTGGCACACTGTATGGCATATGCCCATCTTCATTAGCCCAGTAGGAGCAGAACAGTAGGCATTAAAACCCCATTTCATTTCATTTCTGCTCAGTGCGGGATACACCTAACAAATCTTGCAAAAATGCTGTATAGAAAAGGAATTTATTAGTTTTTAAGCACAAATATAAGGCATCAGCCATTATATCTGTTTCCGAGTTATCTCCAGCATTTTCAACAATGCTGGCAATTTTTTTTACAAGTGGTTCTACTGTGTTTATCATAGATAGCCATCAGACTTTACAAACTTCTGATGGCTTTACAATAGGTTCATCAAAACGTTTTGCCAAATTTTTAATTTTGACAGCTACTTTGGTGACCGACAAAAAAATAATGTCACAGTGGTCAGGGTACTTTCATTAACAGCTCTGTCAGTATCAGCCTTCGATACATCCACAATAGCAAGGGCAACACAATGAACTTCTATAAGTAGTGGATGGTTTTCCTGTAGTAAGGCTGCTACACCACCCCGTTTTCCCCAACCTTAGGGCGCCCCATCTGACCCCAGGCCAAAAATCTTCTTGTTTTGTTGGCTTATAAAAATGCGATAATGACATTAGTGATAGCAACTGCATTGCATTCTTTCACTTCAGCAAGTTTCCACCCTTCAAATAATAGAAATAAAAAATTAAGTGTTTCTCAGAGGAAAGATCCATGCTGTCATCAAACATGAAATTTACGAGTCAGACTGGCTCGGATATTTGAGAGTATCACTTTCTCAAGTTTACTAGAAATTAAAGAAATAAATTCACCACAAGAATTAAAATCATGATATAATTTTTTTGTCATTTCATGTTCCTGTCAAATCGTTCAATTGTTCATACTTTTTGATGGTAATGTTTCTTTTGGCCATGAAATACACATTTCGACTTAACAAAGTCATTGAACTATCCGCCTGGTCCAAAACAATTTCAGTAGATTTAGTAATTAAACTATTTGTTGCCGATAAATGGGATTGTCATTCTACCAAATTACATCAACATAACATTTTTGACTCAAATCAAAGAGTGCTTTATAGTTGTTGTGATATTCTGTTGAATATGACCCATAACTCAACATTAGGGAGTTGAGATATTCAGTCAGTAGCGATCTCATCAAATGGCAGAGTTATTGTCCGAATATTTGATTCAATTAATATTTCAAATAGTTATTTTGGTTGTTTTTGCCACATTTTCATTATCTCCCTCATGACATAATTCAGTAATTCCTTGTGTTATTTTGTAGAACCTATCATTATTATGTATTTGCTTATTCTGATTAAAGTTAGAATCTGTTTGATTATATATCTCTGAAAATATAATTACTGGTATGTAGCAATTTTTACATATTTTGCCTATATTTTATTACATTTTTTAATATGATTTTTGTGCATGGCACAACTTTTCAAGTTTTACTATCTGTATGTTTACACATCTAGACATATTCTATTTTTATTCATTTGTGAATGTTTGCACTGTTTTCTTTTTATATTCAATTATATTACTCAATAAGCAATTTATATGTCTGTGTCTTTCGTTATAAATAGTTAAATTACTAAGGGTGCAGAGACAAATCAACAGATAAAACCTAATTACTCCCCTTTCCTCGGAATGTTTTATATGCCAACATTTCATGTGGGAGTGTATTGTCGAAACTCCTGTCCGTCTGTCAACAACTCTCATAAAGCTCTTTGATATATTTTTTTTTTATCAAATTTGATTTGTTAAGGAGGGTTCCTTTCATAATTCAAATTTTTTTGAAGTTCCATCCGCTGTCACCGAATGCTTGTAAATCTACAGGGTTATTGAGATTACGTTTTTTGGACATACTGGGATTATTCTGCTAGTCCAATCTCAGCCTTTAATTTTATGCCACATTTCAAAAAGCTGATGGTTATATATGCAAACTATTTAATCAACCATGTTCATACATGTACAGATCTATTTATATTAAGTTGTTGTATTACAAATATATGAATTATTTTTAATTTAAGTCTGTCGACAGACATAATATAAATAATTATAATTGTCCATGTTCTATACAAATACTCAAGCTTGATGTTGAACACAGGTTCAAACATTGTAGTTGTCAGCAGCCATATTGTTAATAAAACTTAATAATAGCCTACAAATTGAGTCTATAGGGTTGCTTATTACCAAAGAGAAATTGTGTGTCAGCGGGGTGTTCTCACTTTCCCAGCAGCTATTGTTTACCAGGTAAAATCATTGGACCAGTACTAATTGGGGTAACAATGGTGTTAAAACTATAGTCTTTTTTTTTTCATATCAATATTAACCACTTCACATAAAAGTTATTTTATTAACAAATTTAGCATGTACATATATATTTTTCATATCAATATTAACTACATACAAGTTATTTTGTTAACAAATTTAGTATTGTACATGTATATTTAAAATCCGACTAAATGTGATATCGAATTTCCGTATTCATATAAAGTCGTCAAACCAGTTAATAATCTTTGTTTTTCATCATGTATTCTTCTGTTTAATTCTATGTATTTTCTTTTCTTTGGACGTGAAACGCGTCCATTTCCATATTGTAAAATTTGTATCTCTGTGTAACCCTGTTCTATGAATCTAAAAATATTCGGATGGTTTGACGATACTTTCTTTAACTTTGAATGCCAACCTTCAAAATTGTTGGTTGTTCTTGCACCTTCAGTATAGAAATGGTTCCATAAACTTATATCTACACCTTCGACCCACTGTTCTGTAATATAGTCTGCCAATTCGCGAACCCCAGGAATATCCATATCCACATCTTCTAAGGAGTAAAACCAAAAGTCTTTAATATCACCAGGTTTTATAAGGGCTAACACGGCCGCTCGTTTCACAAAACTAGTCACAGAATTGTTCTCACCATACAGTTTCTGCAAACCATGTTTCTGGGCATTTCTCCAGATAGACTGTCGGAAATGGAACATACAACCTTTAAGGGTGCAGTTAAATTCTAGACGAACTGCATTCTGTGCTGCTACTTCGAAGTCTGTGAAGATGGTAGTTGGTTGTAGGTTTAAATTTAATGAATTGGATTTCTCTTTCAGTATCTGGAAAAGTTTTTGGTATGTTGACTGTCTTTTATCTGGCATAAGGGCGTATACCAACAGAAACATCTTGATACCAATAAAAGCATGGATAGTGTATAGTTGATAATAAAGGGTTGGACAAATAGCGAAGGTTCCGTCGCAGAATAGGATATTGGCTGCTGCTAGTTGGTAGAGATTTTCTTGGGTGCAGAATACTAACATCTTATTCTGGTATTCTGCATGAAGTAAGAAGTTTTCACCATTTTTTGTTTCTTTATAACATTGAGGCAGTTCTACATCACATCGGTTCTTTGGTATAGTTGGTAAATTTTGGGATATGGCTCGATATAACATGGAATGTGCACTGTAAAAAGTTTGTAGAAACTTTACAGTCATCTGCTTCTGAAACTCGTAAATCTGAAAAAATATCAAAAATTGAAAACTATTATATTATATATATCTATTGTCAATATTTACTAAATTTCTTGGTATATATAGTGGAGTAGTTGATTTTAGTTGGGGTTTTTTTTTCAAATGTTGATTTATTTCACTTACTGTTAATTTCTTCTTGGTAAACTGCTGGAATTGGCTTAGCATCTGCTTTAACCGATTCTTTCATTGCTGTAAAAAACATGTCAACTTTTAATTTGGTTGGATCAGCTTGATGATTATGGATGTTTCTGTGGGTAGTAACCAGGTCATTCCTGGTATTGCAAGTAGCAGGGCATTCACGAACAGTACACCTCCAGTGAATGGTGGCTCCTCTTCTTGTCTTAACATTAAACTTATAATTATCATAAACTAGGCTTCGAGTACCTCTCGAGTTTGGAATGAATCTAACATACAATTTGAACTTTCAACTATTTAATAAACTTTTATCATAAACAGTGTTCATCGTAATTAAGTATAAAATTAAACTGACATATGAACAAAAAATCAGACTGTGATTTATAGTTCACACATGTCATAGGTTAAATTGAACTGTTCATGCAATAATTAAAACAGAGTATATAACTCAGTAATCTATAACTAATCCCTAATCCGCCTAATTAGTAGGGTTAATCTGCTGGGAAAGTGAGCACAAACCTTGTCAGCATTAGCAATGGTGTTCTTCCAAATAAGAGAACTTGTTTAGCAAACGTAATTAACCATATGTCTTTGTTAAAATATATGGTGTAGAAATAACCTCCATCATTGTATACCATGAACTCTGTATATAAATTATTAGTATATTTGTTTAAGACACATAAAGAAGGCAAAATTTGGGATCAGTGCAGTATAATGTCAAATTCAATAACAGAATTGATTGATTTGAATAATATTTGGTTTTAAACTTTATATTTAAATTTTATTCTGTCATATTGTTTTGGTTTGATAGAGATATGGATTTTAACAGTTTCAATTTACACTGCCAAAATATTGACCAAATGTACATGTAATTGTGTACTTGGTCCCAAAGAACAAAACCTTTAAGATATGGATGGAGCAGTTTAAAATAAAAACAAAACAGATGGAATTTAACTAATTCTACAGGACTGGAAATTTAAAGGAGATCCCTAATGATTGATGAATACATGTTAATACTGTTCTGAATCTTCAGCACATGCACGAAAGGGTTGACAACTTGGCTAAATGTTTACATCATGTGGTTTGTTAGACAGTTGGAAATGGAGAGATATTTTGTCTTCCCCCTTATATCTAGTCTCACTTGTCTCGTAAAGACTTTTTCTCTGTCAACTTGACATGACTTTTGAAGTTGAAATATATGCTATATATCTAATTATTGTAATGAAGCCTGCGACGTTTAAGATGTATAATCATGTTTCAAATTATGTTTATTTTGATTACCTCTAAGATATTTTTAAAGATATTTATATTTATGAAAGTTATATTTTTCTTATGACTAAATTCTGTTTATTGATAAACAGGAATACAATTTGAATTGAAACAAATTTACCTTCAGATGGTATTAGCCTAATTTAGATTTTAAAATTTATGATTAAAATATAATCAACTGATTTATAAAATCTTGTTGAATTATGTTCAAATATTTTAAGGAATCTTTCTTGATATTAATGTGAATTTTATATTAGATTAATTAGTTTTGTGGAATTGGGCTTTTTTTTAAATTGTTTGATTTTATTTTGTAGTAATGGAATGTAACCTAAGTTGTTATAAGATATACTAGAATTTATCAAATTGTACATATGACATAATAGAATAGATTTTTTGTTTCTGTTTTTTTTTTTCTTTTTTTTTAATAAACACTATTTTATTGAATTTTAGGATTGGGAAACAGGCAAAGCCTATATAATCCTTCTCCCCAAATTTGAGCAAACCCAACAATTATTAAAGAGGCATTATCACTTCCACCAAATTTTGCTGACAATTAAAAATGAACATGCCTTATGTAACTGTGTAGTCAGTCCTATCACCTTAAATGGAAAATCATTTTTTAACTAATTGCTAATGTCTCTCTGATAATAGTTATTATTATTGTTCGATTTATATAGCGCTTCATTACACGTGAAGTGTTTGTGTATTTGTATTGCATATTCTAGGAGTAACCTTGCCATATCATTGAACTATAATATGAATCTAAATTATGGAATCAGTGTTCAAGATAATTTTTATAGTCATCCGATTTCAATGTTGTCTTACATCCACCAGATCCCAGATAAGTTGACGAATAACATTGTTATTGTTCATTAAAGTCTGTGAACATATTTCAGCGTATTGTAAGGATACATGAATAGTTGCCAAATTAGTAATTGTCCCTGAGATCTTGGCCGCAATCAAACTTGAATGCAATTCATAAACAATTTTCGAAGCTATTGCTTAGCCAAAGTATATAAAAATTAGCTTTGTTTCTCATTTGATTATAATCGCTATATCGCTATAAATCCATGGGATTCTTGAAGTTAACTATACTCGTGAATTACCTGCAGAGTGATTACCCTTAACAAAAATAGTTATGGAACGCAATATTTATTCAATTCACTCTTGTTAATATACTTGTTTTCAGCATAAAAACTAATAAATACTTGATATTTGTTTATTTTGTGCAATGTCTATTTTCTGTCTTGTCCGCAGGTTTATCTTGTAGATTTTTGTTTTGCGTGTAGTGCGGTCCTCCTGCACTTACTATTAAGAGTATTCAATTGACTGGTGCAATTTCCTAAACCTCCAAGAGGTCATTTTGAAGTTACTTCTGGTGGCAGTAATTTTGTAAAGAAAATGAATTAACATAATTTGAGAAACAATATTGTAATGTATTTAAAGAATTGGTGTCTTATTTCTGGTCTTATTTACTATGTTATTCATAATATTCATCATTTATGTTCATTTTGTCCACCTCGACAAAAAAAATTAATAATGATTTTTGCATGTATTTTGATAACCATCCTATCTTATCGCAATTAAACAAAGTTTACACAAATAATTTTCTTGGAATGTTTGTTGATTTTTTACCATCATCTATTTTACAGGGATGGATAATGTCTGCTGTAAATCCTAGACATTCAACATGGCAGAGAGAGAGAGAGAGAGTGAAACCTATTGGACACCCTCAAAAGCTTCGGGAGGCTGGAATCAGAGGAGACTTGCTTCTGTGGTTCAAAAATTATTTGTATAACAGAAGCAAAGCTTTGTAAAAGTGGGGCTCCTGATCCCAAGACCGTCCCTGGTGGTGTACCACAAGCTCTCTCCTCGGTCCCCGTCTCTTTCTTTTATATATATATATATACTCAGCCAAATTAAAAACTTGACACTCGGGATTTTTGGGACTAGATTTTTAATATTTGGTTTAAGGCAACTATTTTAGTGTTATGTTGTGCACAGACGAACATGACATCAACAGAAAGCAAGAATACGTCTCGCCGAAAGTCCTTGACATTGATAACGTTCGTGATGTCACAGTACCCCCCCAAAACAATCGGAATAAAGTGTTTAGTAACGGTTGTGGCCTCCTCTAGCGTCTCGTACTGCCACACAAAGTCTTCTCATGGATGTCAGAACATTAGTAAACACTACCCGAGGAAGACGTCGCCACTGCTCAGCAAGAGCATGTTGAAGGTCCTGCAACGTCAGTGGTGGATTCACTTGCTGACGAACACGTTGACCCGGTTCGTCCCAGATGTGTTCAATAGGATTAAGGTCGGGGCTAAGCGACGGCCAATCCAGGACATGGACACCGGCATTTCTTAAAAAATTCTGGGTAGCAATTGCTGTATGGGATCGAGCATTGTCTTGTTGAAACGTTAGTCCAGGCCCATGTCTCTGCATAAACGGAAGAAGAACAGGTTGCAAAATCTGATCCCTGTACTGGACAGCATTTAAGTTCCCTTGGACAACAAGAGAACGTCCATGTGCACAAAAAGAACCCCAAACCATGACGCTGCCGCCACCAAATCGGTCAACTTCTCTGACGCATACTTGAGCGTAACGTTACCTCGTCTGCGGAACACTCGGACCCTGCCATCGGCAAATCTCAAAGTGAATCGAGATTCGTCACTAAAGACAACCGAATTCCACTATCTTTGAGTAAATCTTATGTGTCTTGTGGCCCACACAAGTCGGTTACGGCGATGAAGAGGTGTCAATATTGGTCCATTATAGGGCCTCCGAGCTCGAAGACCAGCAGCCTGCAAGCGATTTCGAACAGTTTGTGCAGTTACCCTTCCACCAAACATCTCTCTACTTGTGGAGGTTGCAGTGACAAATCTGTTTCTAAGATGACGTAATCGTATTGCTTGATCTTCCTGGAGTGACGTCATACATGGCGCCCCCGACCTTACGCGGTCGGCAATAGTTCCAGTTTGAAGCACTCTCATTCTAAGATTAATTATTGTCTGGCGTGAACAATTAAAGGCTCTTGCAACAGTGACCACAGACTGACCAGCATCGAGCCTACCTAAAGCACGTAGACGTTCTACATTTGAAAGGCGCGGCATTTTCTAACAAAGATGAAAATAACAATTTTAATTTGTTTTTCCAGTTCACGTTGCGTGTTCAGTTTAAGCAAAATAGCATCGATTGACCTCACGAGTTTGTCTCATAGCACACTGTATGGCGTATGCCCGTCTTCATTAGCCCAGTTTAGGAGCAGAACAGTAGGACGTTAAACCCCATTTCATTTCATTTTGTGTTTGCACGGGTTTTTCAGGTTTTTCATCTTTATATGCTCAAAAGTCACGTGATCCACGTGACTTTACAATTTTATGAAATTAAAGGCTTCTTACTACTTACTATCGTTAGAAACACTTTAAAATTTATTTGACTTACCAGAAAAAAAAATTTGTTGAAATTCACCAGTGTCAAGTTTTTAATTTAATATAAATGATATCGTTAAGAACATAAATTCCAATATTCGACTTGTTTCGGATGACACTAGCATTTATCTAAAAATTAATGACCCAACCGCATGCGCGGCTATCTTCAGTAGTGATCTTGGAATGTTAAACAAATGGGCAAAAACGTGGCTGGTTTCCATTAACCCACTAAAAACTGAATCACTTGCGCTGGCTAATAAACGAGATCCACTGTTACCTACACTAAATTTAGACGGTATTCCTATTAAAGAAGTTTATCAACACAAGCATTTGGGATTGACTTTTCAGAAAAAAAATGTAAATGGCACAGACACGTTAACATTATTTTGAATAAAACGAGTAAAATGATTAATTGTGTTAGGTCTTTAAAATACAGCCTTAATAGAAATACTTTATAAACTGATATATACTTCTTTTATTCTTCCATATTTTGACTATGTGGGCGCACTCAGGACTATATGGGGAGCTGTAAAGGGTACCAGTCAAAGGTTATATGAAGAAACGGGATTTATCTCTCTGCAAGAAATGCGAAGTCGTCAATATTATTAATCAGCTAACCCCTCCATACCTTTACAGTTTAATTCAGTTCTCCAAAACCCCTTATTATCTTCGTAATAGCAATAATTTAGCTGATTACTTTTATCGAACAACTTTATTTTCTAAATCCTTTATACCTTCTACCATAAAAGAATAGAATAACCTTGATATAACTATTAAAATTTCGATCTCTATAAGTAAATTTAAAACTAAAATAATATAGATAAAGATAAAACTATATCCCATTATTTCAACTTTGGCAAACGTAAAATTCAAATATAACATAGTTGTCTTCTTCTCACTTGCAGTGACCAAAATGACCTTAGATTTCTTTAGGCATATTTCGGATAGCTCCGAGTGTGATTGTGGTCATTTTTTCGAAGACACTGATCATTTTCTTTTACATTGCTTTTTACATTTTAATGTGCGCAAAATATCTATACACGTAGTTATTTTACCACCCAATGTAATCAATATTTACGTAATCTGTTATACGTTGTTAGCTACCATCATACTTCGTTAACCATCTTTGCAAAGGTCTACTTGTTTTTTAACATCCGCAGAAGGTTTTAAGATCAGTATCAGTGTAATATTTTATCGATCATAATCAAAATGCGGACACGAAGAACTGCGTAGCCACTGTGTAAATATGTATATACAAATGTTGATTAAGTATGCATGGTATTGCTTTGTTGCTTATTCACCTATTTCTTTCATATATAGTTATTTATTATCTTAAGAAGAGAGGTCATATAGACTATATCTGTTCCTCAATCCCTTTCAATTTCTAAATAGAATATTGTCTAAAAAAAAAACATCCCAATTCCTCCATTTCCATGAACCTAAAACAATGTTGCATTTTGAATTCATCAGACTGTACATTTAAACAGTAAATGATAATTTCATCATCATCCCCCCTCACCAGTAGCATCGAGAGACGGCGGCCCAGCACTGTAATATATAAAATGGAAAGTGGATAGGATATTGTTTTTTAAAAATAACCCGTTATTGCCGATCGATCATTTCCCAACTCATGTCGTAATTATCTTAAAATAATTGCATAATTTCAGGAACCAGTTACTTTACAATTCTTCTGCGTCACGGTAACCGTCGATCCGTCTATCAATCACATATCCAAAATCATGGATATGATATGCATTAAAATATGACCGTCTACTAAAAACACTTTTTTATTCATACTTATAAATCCATTACGGATTTAACTAAACTAGATATTTTACATAACCAATATACATTTAACAGGAGTAATGATATTAAAGACAATGTGAAAACAGATGCACTACCTTACATCTATTCTATACCTAAATTCCATAAAAACCCAGTAAAATTCAGATATATAATATCCTCCAGTATTTGCCAAACGAAACCATTAGCCAAGACTATCAACAAAGGGCTTAAATTATGCCAAATCCAACATGCCATTTGGTGCAGAACACTTCGTAGCTATACTGGAATTAAAAGTTTTTTTATAATTGATAAAAATAAACCTATAGTAGACACTTTAGAAAAAGTCAATAAAAAAATTAATGCAAACACAATAGAAACGTTCGACTTTTCTACTTTGTATACTATGCTTCAACATGCAGATCTTAAAGATAATTTAGATTGGTTTGTCGATAAAGCCTTTAATGGAGCTTTCGGGAAAGGCAGAAACTTGATGGCCATTTATGCAGAAGATGCTAAATGGATTATAAAACGTCGCAATGCCGACACTGTAGTTTTTGATAAAGAAAAATTTCAAAATATCATACATTTCCTTATTGATAATGCCATATTTGAGGTTGGGGATCAGATAATGCAACAAACTATTGGTTTGCCAATGGGAACTGACCCCGCCCCATTTATGGCAAACGCACATTTATATAAATACGAATTCGACTTTCAAGACCATAAAAGAAAAACAGATTACAAAGTAGCTAAAAGTCTAAACTATACCTTCCGATACATTGATGACATACCACCTATCAATGATAACGGAAATTTTAACAAATATAAAAGTGAAATATATCCTCCTGAACTAATATTAAATAAAGAAAATTCCGGTACTATAAATGCATCTGTTCTTGACCTTAACATCAATATAATTAACAATAAATTTAATGTCGGTATTTTCGACAAGACGGACAAATTTGGTTTTTAAGTAGTAAAATACCCGTCAATCTATAGTAACATACCAGATACCACTCTATACAGTGTTTTCTATTCACAGGCATTACGATTTTTGACAATATGTAACGATAAAGATCTATTTCTCTCCCGAATAAAATCTTTACTTTAAATGCACTGCCAAAGGCGCTACACAATTACGCATTTTAAAAGAAATTTCAAAACTTCCATTACTTCAACATACCAAGTTTGACATTTCTTGTAAGTATATAACCGACTACATACTGGATAATAATGATCCAATTTAAATTTTATTTTAGAGTTTCTGTTGTTACCTAACCCTGTCTGAATTACCTCCCTTAATATTATGCCTTTATAAATACACTTACATAGTACGATTTCTTCAACATACCTGTTTTGCATTTCTTGTGTGGGGTATTATATTAATATATTATTATATATTGTACAATTACATAACTTAATAATTCCGATTAGTCGCTAGAACTTATGGTTTTTTAAGCTTTTAACGTTATTTTATCTGGATTATCTCCCTTATTATTGTGATTTTTTTATCACCTTCTAAGATATGACGCCATTCTCAGTCAGCAGACGGCTGTCCCTCGAAACAGTCTACATTTCCTACTTGCTTCTCTGTATTCAGTTTTGTTTTTGTTTTTTTGTGACTATGGAACATGTACCCTATATGTATTAAATACTGAAGCGTTTCTTTATTGAATTTAAGAGTTTAGACTACTTTTTTTTATACTTTTCACCTATGTGGTTACTTGTATAGTTGAATTTTACTACATATGCTTACATTCGTATTTCGTGTAGCATATATCAGATCATGACTCCTGCTGGCATTACACAATGGGTTTTTTGGGTTGTATTCCTAATTGTTTTCAAATTTGAGTGAAGTCTGTGTCACTACAGACCCGGGACTGTACAGCGCAGTGGACGCTTACGGCTAGCCCCCGGATCCATTCACTTTTTTTTGAATTGTCATTATGTTTGTGTTTTCCTGAGTATGATGTCCTGTCCGTGTATTTGTTTTTGTGTAAATTATGTGTGGTGCAGTCCCCCTACACTTACTATTATGTAAAGTAGCAACTGTATTAGTTTTCCTTAACATTCAAATTCGGTCGTCCTCACAAAGCCAAAAGGTTAATTACAAAACTAGACATTGCTTTCAAAATCACCCAAACTTGTTGACTGTCTTTTAAGAACACCTGATACAACTTGTCATTTATTTATTAAGTTAAAATTGATAGTTATTGAAAATTATAATATAAAACAATATCATTCAATGGTGTCGAAATAACAAGATCTAAATCTTACCTCATTTCTCGCTACTAAAGCTGTCATCATCATTACCATAATCAACCATCATGCATCATTACCATAAACGTCATGCTATGAACCTGTAAACACAAAAGCGAAGAAAATAATCAAATAAGTTGTACTCAAATGATATGTGGTATCAAGTGTTCCAGAAAGCGTAAGCTTTTAAATAGGGTGACATTTTCTGTTTAAATCCCAGGATGCCAAGAGTATTGAGTACAAGGCGACTTCTATCAGCCGAGTTATCAGCCCAATGCATAAGAAATGCACTACGAGGGGTGATTGATAAGTAGTGAGTCTAACACAGAAAGAAACAAGAAATTCAAATCAAATGTATTTACTTTTCAACATAGCCCCCCTTCAATGTAATACACTTCTGTCATCGGTGTTGCAGAGCCTTTATTCCAGTTCTGTAGAAGTCTTTGTCTTGGGTGTGTAGAAAATCATCCACAGCGGCAATGACGTCATCGCCAGACGGGAAATGCCTACCGGAAAGACATTTCTTCAGAGCAGGAAACAGTTAGAAGTCTGAGGGAGCTAAATCAGGAGAGTAGGGGGGATGCTGAAGAAGTTGAAAACGACAGTCATGGATTGCTGACATGGCAACAGCTGATGTGTGCACTGGCGCATTGTCCTGGTGGAAAATCACACCTTTGGTCAGCTTTCCTCGTCTTTTGGTCTTAATTTCTTGCCTCAACTGACTTATAAGTGCTGCATAGTATCTACCGTTAATTGTTTGACCCTTTTGGGGGTAATCCACCATGAGAACACCCTCAAAATCCCAGAATACTGAGGCCATCGCCTTTCCAGCCGATGAAACAGTCTTTGCCTTCTTTGGGGTCGGCGACGTCACATGTTTCCACTGTTTTGACTGCTCTTTTGTTTCTGGCTGAAAGTGGTGGACCCAAGTTTCATCCATAGTAACAATTTGTTTGAGGATGCGATCAGGATCGGTTTCAAATAAGGCTAGATTCTCTTCTGACATGATGTGTCTTGAACGCTTTTGATCAGGCGTCAAAAGCTTTGGCACACATCGTGCTGAAACCTTTGTCATTTCCAAAGTTTCAGTGATAATAGAATGAACTCTCTCCTGGCTAATACAAACTACCCCAGCTATGAATCGTTCAGTAACTCGCCGGTCATTCATTATCAGATCATGGATTTTTAGCACCATTTCAGGTGTTGACACAGTTTTTGGTCGACCAGGGCGTGGTTCGTCTTCAATGCTGTCTCGGCCACGCTTGTATTCAGCTTACCACATTTTAATTGTGGCATATGAGGGAGCATCATCTCCTAATGTCTCAACCATATCATCATGTATGGCTTTCGGTGTTAGACCCTTTTTATGCAGATACTTAATCACAGCTCTCGCCTCGATATGGTCCATTTTCTGATAACAACAGACCCTATATACTTGATTGTTATGACCTGTCACAACCAAACAGTTTAACCGAATGTGATGAAAGTTTGTGAAAGAGACCGAGGAACATAATAGTGCGCGTGCAAAACGTGGTATCATTGTGTTGCACGGTTTTCCAATCAAGGCTCACTACTTATCAATAACCCCTCGTAACTACTCTAATCAGATATCAGTATTATCTAGTGTTTTGGAAAGCAAAAGTTGAACGTCCCTGTCTCTTGCACGACACTGATTACTACTTCCACTAGACGACCAGTAAAGTACAACCAAAAGCCCAGATAGCCACTCAGTGTTGGCCCTACTATGGCCCACATACGGCAGCATCTGTGATATGATGAGGACGAAGCAAACGCTGTGTCTTGATATGGAATACAATAGTCAACAGACCAAGAAAAGGGACAACAGACCAGATTTCCAAGATACTGAAATCTACTCACAATCTTAAAGCGGAAATTGCAAATTTTTAAGTTATATTTTTAAAATTTATTAAAATAAAGCCTGAAAATAGATGGTATCCATAAACAGTCGTACCTTGTTAAAGAATAATCCTATTAATCCTATAATTCACTATTGCCAGCTGAGAAATTGGCAAAATATCAATTTCCTCTTCATTTTCAAACGTTTGAAAAAGGCAACTCCGTGGTGGAGAATAGAAAACAAGGGAGGTAATTGTGTTATTATTTCCTGTGTAAATGAGTTTTAAGTGTGAGAATGACACCTATGATCGTATAATTGTGAGTTGACAACCTATTGAGCAAAAGACATAGAAATAATTACGTTTTGACTTTCTTAAAAAATTTGCAATTTCCGCTTTAAAATACATGTAGGATCTTTAAACTACAAACTTAAAGTAATTATAACCGCCGGAAACCACGCTGTAAAATCCCGATGAACTTTCTCGGCCTATACCGAGAGCGAACCGGCGACCCCCAGGCTAGCGAGCCAGCGTCTTACTCACTTAGCCACCGTGACTCCAGGACAATACGAAGTGACTAAAACACTCCCTAAAACACCCTCATCGTTATATTTTATCGGTTAAAGAGTATATCAACTTTATTTTTGATAAATAGTTGGAAGCGGAGAGGGTGAGAGTATACTAAATCCGCGTCATTATGTACGCCACAGTCCGTCAAAATGCAGGCGCAGTTTTAGGATTTTCAGCCGGGAGGGGTCCAGAAAATGAAGTGCTGACGTGCCAAAAAATTGAACGCTTAAGATGCCATTTCCGGCCTCGAATCTCACATATTTAGATTTGGGATAACTGTGTAGTTAAATCACGACAGATCGAAAACTATTATTTTTACTGCAGCTAATGTGAACGGTCAGTGTTATGACAACATAGGCTACATACGGCCATATTTTTATAATTGTGCGCGTATAAGATAAAAAGAAAATGATGATATTGATTCTTTATCGAGAAGGACGATAATCTAACAATCTGGACAAATGATCAGTCTCTGTTTTTGCGCCTGTCAATGAATACACAGGACATTAAAAAGTATTGATTTATTATCATGTGTTGGAACATTATACAAACAACATTCACTCTTTATGGATGTATAAAACTGTTGCGTCGGTTACATTCAGTAATTATACGTAGTGAATGTGCCCAATTGCTATGATTTGTTTTATACCTTCCTCGCCGTAGACTTGTCTACAAATATATGTATATAAGTACGTCTTATTTACGAAGAACAGCATCGGATGACTGAGGAAAGAACTTTATAATACATGGTATGAATAATTGCTTTTTATGGGGGGGGGGGGGGGTTCTTGGTAAATACTTTCTTTTCTGGACTTTGCATCAAATTTTATTCTTTTAATCTCTCGGGACAATAACCATTCCATTCCCTCGAACATTTATTGTGTGTGTGTGCTATTAAATGGACAGGTGACTAGCCATGGATGAAATGTTATATTGCTAATGACATGTTAATTTATTATCATCCCTTTTATAAAACTTTATATAGATAGAAAGTAACTGCCAAAATGGCCTGTTTCGTGGACATGCAAATCGTATGATTAATCTATTAATTGTTTTACTTACCATTGTTTGATTTCTTATATTGTACAGTATTACATCCGTGCTTGTTTATGTCAACACTTTGTCTCGCCAAGTGATTAGAAGTTATTCCATATAAATCTGTGATTGTACTTGATATGTTAGTCTTTTAGCTCTGCTATCCGCGGTCTTGTAAGTGCATGTAGATAATTATTATTATAAGTTTCCAGTTTTAAAGATTTGAAGAACCATTCAAGACTCTTGTAATATCTGACGGACCTCACCGTCACAATATCGACGTGTTTTGCTAATATATAACGAAGGAATTTATCAAACAACTCTTATTCACACGTCCGGTTGTACGTAACAAGGAGTAGGGTCGCCTGTCCAACCTCGTGGGTTTTCTCCGGGTCCTCCGGTTTCCTCCCACTGCTAAAGAATTATTGAAATAAAATTTTTAAAAAAAACATATGTTAGTCCCGAAATGACCTAGTTTGTGTCGAGTGGACGTTAAACCCCATTTCTCTCTATCTCTCTCTTATTCACACGTGAAATCATTTTATTTCACGTCATCTCTCTTCATATACGTTTTGATTTTTATACAGATTTTTTATAGGTTAATTGTCCACAATTTTTGTAAGCACTCTATATACAGGTCAGGGTTTTCAGACTTGCTAGAATTGTTCAGAGTCGCGCAACAATCTTTCGGCAAGTTAGTGTCCCTACCGCAAAGACTTTATAAAACACTCCATAGATAAGAATTTTTGATATTAATATTTAAAACTTACTGGAAAAGTTCTGGAAGTTATGAAGGGTTTCCCTGTAATGTATAGTTATTTCCGCTTGAACCGCTATTTTGAAAGACATCCATTATAATGCTGCTAGTGGGTGTATATGTGTTGCCTGACAACGCTACGGTTGGTGTAAATGGCTTTTACCGTCCCCTAGGCCGTGGACTAATGGGAATTGATAATCTTGTAGCTTTTTATATGCACACCAGTGTCATAAATGGTCCATTCGCAATGGTACTTTCTAAACCTTATTGCCAATGTTCCTTGAGGCTTGTGGCCATAAGTGGCGTGGTATCAATACATCGCTTGTACGTGACAAGGATTGGGGTCGCTTGTCCGACCTCGTAGGTTTTCTTCGGGTTCAGCGGTTTCCTCCGACTGCAAAAGATACACACGCGCTTCAAGCGAATTATTCGAGTTAATGAAATAAAATTGAACCGTATGTTAGTCCCGAAATGACCTAGTTTGTGTCGCGTGAGCGTTGCACACTCTCTCTCTCTCTCTTGCTGAACAATTTCCTTTGGACGTATATTGTCGTCGCCCCTGTCCGTCCGTTCATATCTTGTTTGTGGACACTCTACAGGCCCTTCTGATAATCCTGCATTTATATATTTTGTCATCATTCAGCGTAATATTTGAAGAAAAAAAACCACAATAGGTTATAAGCTTTATACTTTATTGTATGAATGTCATTGTATCAAACATTAAATATTCTGTTCCAGACGAAACAGATAAATAAAAAGAAAGCATAGATGGAATCTGGTCTGGTACTATTCAATTCATACACAGTAATAAAATTGTTTACAGTACAAAATTGACTGTTTTGTTGACGTGTCAATTCCCAAGTAAACGGACTTTGTTCCGTGACCGAAGCTGGCGACCATTGGGAAGCGATAACTGAAGTCAACATATGATTTATATATAACCACAACAAAAGAATATCAATAAAATGGACCCCGTATGGACAAGCTTTTACTGTTTACTACTGATATATCCAACTTGTAAGTATCTGGTCATTTACACAAATTAATTTTTTATGTGACGAAATTTGAGGTCGCGTAGTAGGCGACACTCCATGATAGTTAAGGTTATAATGGAATGGTATGATTTAAATTCCCAGAAGTATAATGAATGTTTACAGTTTATGTATTTGTCAGAAAACCTACTTCAGATGCCACTGTTCCAGTATAATTAAAATTATTTATTTCATTCCGACATGGACATATTGTTTCTTTTTGTACAAGATCTACTGCTGCTTTATCGGTTATTTATTCTCATTGACCAATTTTGATTCTCATTGACCAGCTTTTCCGGACATGAATATCACGGAATGCTAAAATTCAACAGAATTCATCCTCTCCAGCTCCAGTGCTTCACGCTAACTCCGGCTGAAAAAAACCCCAACAGTGTTCATCGTCTCATTCAAAATGCTGCACATCAAAGAATCTATGAAAAACTGTTTTCGAAAAAAAAGGGATTAACTGTGGAACAGAAGGTTGCATAATGCTGAAAATCGTTAAAAATCTGAAATAAGCTTTCTGATTTGCACCCATTTGATTCGTGGTGGATAATCACGTTAAGTTTTCTGAAACTGTTTGGATTAGTCTCGTCATTTTGTTTTTAAAAAGGGGGGTTGGATGGCTGAATGGTTAGCGTGCGCGCGCTGTATCATAAAGTCGGTCATTGAGTCGACTGGCGTTGTTTCGAATCCCCGGTTGTACGTGACAAGGAGTAGGGTCGCCTGTCCAACCTCGTGGGTTTCGTCCGGGTCCTCCGGTTTCCTCCCACTGCTAAAGACCCATATGCGCAAGCGAATTATAAAATTAAACCATATGTTAGTCCCGAAATGACCTAGTTTGTGTCGAGTGGACGTTAAACCCCATCTCTCTTTCTCTCTCTCTTTCTCTCTTGTTTTTAAAAAAAACAACAACTATCAATTTCAAAAATCAAATTGATGGTTTCGATCATTCCAGCCTTTATTGTCTCCGCTTTGACAACAACGAATATCTATATACTATTCTATATGGAGACAATATAAACTGTTATTATCGAGGCTATCAAACTATTTTTTTTTTTGTTCGACTGGTTTTGATTTTTTCTAGTTACGGATGGTTTTACCATTAAAGATGAAGCTCTCTTGAGAGACAAACTGTTCGAGACTGGGGAGTATGATTTAAAAATTCGTCCAAGTGATCGAGTCCAAGTCGAAATCCTGTTAAATTTGATGACCATTAATTTTTTGGTACGTTGTGTTTTCGGAAATATTTTTTTTCCCAGAGATTGTTTCGGGATCTAAGGTGGCTAAGTGATATAGGAATTGACTCGCTAACCAGACTAACCGGGATTTCATCTCGTGTTGGTCGGGAAATTTCCCCGCGATTTTCGAATAGGTTTTCTCCTCAGTGATGCATGTCGAGAAAGAGCGTCTAATCGATCGGATGACACATAAAAACAAATTCCCATGTACATGGTGGCGTACTATTGAAATTCGAAATAAGAGTAGGCCGCAGCGCCGCTGGGTGGACAATAATTTCCCCACAGCACACTGCATGGCATAAGTCCTCCTTCATTAGCCAACTCGTTGTAGAAAAGTAGAACGTTAAACCCCATTTCATTGCAGAAACTGGTTCATTTGTTTAAAGCGAGAATTTCAAATTTTCTAAGAAAGTCAAAACATAATTATTTCTATGTCTTTTGCTCAATAGGTTATCAATTCACTATTATACGATCATGGGCATTATTTCCCACCCTTAAACTTCTATGACACAGGAAATAACAACACAATTACCTCCCCTTTTTTGCTATTGACAACATGGGGCAGCCATTTTCCAACGTTGGAATTTGAAGTTAAAAATGATATTTTTGCCAATTTCTCAGCTGGCAATAGCGAATTATAGGATTAATAGGATTATTCTTTAACAAGGTAGGACTGTTTATGGATACCATCTATTTTAAGGCTTTATTTTAATACATTTTAAAAATATAACTTGAAAATTTGCAATTGCAACTTTAATCTGTACACTGCCTCGTTGGCCTTTTATGAATTGTCTGGGGATCTATTGTCTGAAAGTAGTACATGTACTAGTTTTATCGCCAAACCGTACACACAACGCCAATGGACATAATTATACTAATGAATATCCTTAAGAAGAATGGGTGTCGTGTTTTCCATATACACGTAGTGTGATGTGGGATATTAAAGATATACTAATATGAAATTTGAAGTGGCAGGAACGAGTGAAAGGTACCGAGTTTCCTAGCATGCATGGGAGACTATAATTGGATCACCAGACTATGACGTCACACAGCGGGTTCAAACGTAGCTGTCATCTGTTTGTAGGTAACGTCTTCAATATATTGACTAGAAAATCATTCAGAGATCTTAAATATCCTCAATAGTATACATATAGTATTACACTAGCACCGGCACTGAACTCAAAGTCAGCTACTGGAATCAGCGTTTTAAAACTCTATAGGTAACCCCAATCTTATATTACTCTAAATAAAAGAGTGCGCCCGTGACGTCACCGGTGGAACCAGAACTTGGCCAGAATGACAATTAACGGCTTACCTGAGCACAAATAAACAAACATTTTCGTCGGTTTTTATTAAACTTGAGATTCCATATTGGGAAGAACTTAAAGGACAATATTGGTGTCAGTCATTATAAAATATGTGATAGAACTGGTTAAATACATCCCAAATATAACTTTAACACAGAGATCATTGCTACCGGAGATGTGTAACAAGCACGTGAAGAAACGGGAAGTGACGACAAACATGACAAACACGAGTTATCCTACTATATATTTCTGAATTGTGAGATACCCTCTCACCGTCCCATATAATAACTTTTAAACTTCAACGGAATTATCAGTGAAATGAAATTTGATTGTTTGTCTGTTATCGCTCGTTACATCAGTCAGATACATAGAAGGATAACTCGTGTTTGTCATGTTTGACGTATCTTCCCGTTTCGTCACGTGCTTGTGTACACATCTCCCGTAGCAATGACCTCTGTGTTAAAATTATATTTGGAATTATTTAACCAGTTCTATCACATATGTAATTATGACTGACACCAATATTGTCCTTTAACAGCTATATGATTTTTTTTTTAAAAAGTTAATCCCTGTAGTTGTCATCCTTACCTATCTTTTGCTGAATCGTCACTCAAAAAATGATACATTTACTTTTTTACTTTTAAGAATATCCGAGACCAGTCTTTTCAAGTGAGTGGATGGCTTACATTGGTAGGTACATGCAAAATTAAACAAAATATTAACTCTGATAACGAATCGGTAGATTGACTTCAAATAATGCACACAAACTAATTATGGACACATTATGCGTTTAACAGGCATGTGAGATTTTGACGCCTTGTTCGACTGGTAAAAAAATAATCCTATTTGACTATAAACACTTAATTTGGTATGGTAATATCTTAATCGGTGTGGCGATATTCGGTAAGTTAGAGAGTTTAAGATTATTTTAAAATTATATTATTCAAAAGTAATTATACTTATTTTCTCGATGACTGCCTCTAAGCGCACATGTACTTGATTTTAGGCTTGGATCGATAAACGGTTAAGTTGGGTTCAAGAAGAGTATGGCGACATTGGTTTTATATTTGCATCTCAAACAGAAGTTTGGCGACCAACTCTTGTAATCAGTAACTGGTAAGTATCAAAACAACGAAACTTTCTTTTGTTTATTAACACTGCCATTTCAATACTGGCAATTATTGATGAATGGCAATTTCTAATCGAAATACTTGTCATTAACTTAGCTATGTCCTATTAGTTACCGCTCTATTATGAGTATTACTGTTTATTTGTTTTTAAAAATCGAATTAGATCGGTGACTTGGCTATTAAAGTAACTACATTTCTACGCATTTTTAATGTTTTGCCTCAAACAAGAGGAACAAGTACTGCAAGAGATTAGTTCGTGTATTTCCAGTTAAAGTTTCTTTTCATATCTACTACACAGGCACCAGGTTCTCTACTGTAGAGTTTATATCGCAAATCGTAAATTTCGCAAGTTATCGTAATTGGACACTTAAACATGCATTATGCAAGAGCAAAATCTGCTTATTACAAGTCTTTCTTTAGGCTTGAAATGTAATTTAAATTATCAATTAGACATTAATTAACTCATCCAGACCATAATAAACTCTCGATGTCAAGGCTAGCCTTCGATGTTGGCTGGATTAGATCCCCATATGCCGCTAACGGCCGTTGATAATTAAATCAGAAAAAGTGGATAATCGAGACTATGTTGTTTATATTAATGATTTTAGTAATGATGACCGAGACTATGCAAAAATTTCACCCGCTTCTTTCTCGACTCATAGTGGATCAATTTGACTGAAATTTTCAGCAAATTACCTTTACACTATCTAGTTTTTAACTATTATAGCGAGAACTGCCATCTCTTTATTTTATCTCCCATAATGTATCTTTAAGGCTTGTGATAATGACGCAGAAAATGGTTCACGGTGTAATTTTGTAAAATCTAATGGGATTATCCATTAAATGCATAAAGATGGTCCCTATTCAAATTCGGAATAATTAGGAAACACTCAGAATTATGTCCTTTACGAAATTAGAGGGATTGTGTAATGGGACCTGAGCAAGAATCCGATCTTATATTTCTCCCTCGTTTCGTTTATATTATGACTGTTATCATTGTTTCAATCATAAATTTAAGATTTATTTTTTAACTTGCTCGGTGGGATTTGTTTATTAAGATTAAAGAGCAGCTAATGCTAACACTGACGACAATGTTGCTGGTGGACATATTAGAGCACCCGACAAGCCCGCTTCTATATTTCCCTTCCTTTGTTTTAACAGCGTTCAGAAGTTGGGAATAATTCAAGATGGCTTTACTCCACTTCGAATTACCAATAGTAGCAAAATCATCTGGGAACCTCCCGGGATATATGAAGTTAGCTGCTTAGCCGATACTACAGTTTATCCTTTTGATGTACAGACTTGTCATTTAACAATCCAGAGCTGGGGATACGCCCTAAAGGAACTCGATGTTTCTGCATTAGGATCGGGGATAAACCTCGAGGAATACAAGGAAAATGGTGAATGGGACATAATTGATCACTACACAATACGGGGGGAGAGTACAGATTCTAGAGATATTGATTATGGACAACTGAGTTTCTATTTTACTTTACAAAGAAAATCTCAGTACTACTGGTTCAATGTGATGTTGCCTGTCATCGTTAATTCAATACTTACTGCCCTTGTATTTGCCTTGCCTGCAGAATCGGGAGAGAAAATGGGCTATTCACTAACAGTTCTCCTGTCGTTTGCTGTGTTGCTGACATTGGTATCTGATAAGATACCACCAACTTCTACTCATACATCCATTATGGGTAACTGCATAATTATTTATTTCAACTTTTAATATCTATGGACATGGGGTACATACTGACCATGCATAAGCAGGGGAAGACATGATAGCAAGCCCCGACAGCTAGATTTTATATGGGGCACATTTCATTGTGTAACATCTTAAATGAAGTTTAGCGATATGCATTGTTGTTTTTAGAAAATCCCAGTCAAACCGGAAGTGAGCTTTTTTGACTTTTAAGGAACATTGTTGGAATTGAAAATCTGAATTTAATCTGGAAGTCGAATTTAGAATTTCTATTTTTTTATTTATTTATTTTTTTTAAAATTTTATTCGAAACCTTGATGTATAGGTAGTGTTAAATATATATATATGTGGCGGTTTGACTGAGTACCTTAATTTTAATTAGATTGCAATGTGCGGCTATAATGATAGGCAATACAGTACACAAATAGACTATATATAACTAGAACCAGATTTGGTTTATCATATAGTTCCACAATGAAACAATTCCTTAGAGAACTTTTCAACACTTCCACTTTTTTTATAGCTATAAATATTTGATTCAGTGGTTTTTTTCTTATTATGTCTTATTATAAGATCCGTGAAGGTATCGAGGCGCTCTTGGGTAGCTAATTTGTAACTTCAATATATATGATAGGCCTACCGAGTCGAACTAGGTACCTAGCTAAAGCGCGACAGCAACCCTGGTAGTGGTTCTATAATAATATTAATAATGTATTTTCAGTTGTTTATTTCTCATTTGTTCTGATAATGGGAGCTCTGGCGGTTGGTTTCAGTATACTTGTTATCAAGTTATATTTCCGAGAGAACGACGAACCAATTTCACCATGGGTACAATATTTCTACAAGAAGATACTTGGGCGATTGGTCTGTTATAGGAAATGCAAACCACGACAGAATTCAGTTTCAGATTTGGGATCAGACAGAGGTTCTATGTACGAAAAGGGCGAAACGCCCAACATGTATCTACAAAGGGAAGCAACCGAACATAAACTGGAAAATGGAAATAGCCCCGAGACAGATGATGACTTGGATTGGAAAGACTTGTCAAAAATATTAGATCATTTTTTCTTGAGATTATATTTATTATTGATATCTTTTGCGACATTTGGATTTCTGGCCGCTTTGTCGCTTTAAACATTGATTTCGTTGTAAGTTAGTCTCTAGTACATTTTAAATCGAACATTTTTTGTTATTCTATATAGATTTGTTTTAGGGTGAGTGTCAGATTTACTGGTGTACGTAAATATACGGAGGCGAAATGAGCCACCGATGTGAGTTGTCAGGGCACCAATTATAGCATGTCGACCCATAGCATTTGTTTGGGTTTTTTTTGTTTTTTTTTTTATTCTTTTACCTTATGAAGTCCAATTTCCCCAATATGAATATCATCAACCGCTTGGATAATAGAGATGACTTTTAAGAATAGGTAAATACAGTCTAGTGTATCCAGACAATATATAGTGGGTGGGGGAATTAGTGCAGCGTTTACACTCGTGAATTCCATTGTCGTTATCCTCTGAAAGGAATCATATTTTGAAATCAAGATCAAGCTTTGCATTAAATTTCTTAACAATCCACGATCCTAGACTTTATGCACAATTTCTTCCTCAGAACAAATGTTTTTGAAAGAATAATAAGTATATCCAATTACATGACACTTGCTATCTATAGTCAGAAGGATTTCAAATTAACATTCAACAACCGAAGCTTAACTGGCTAAATGTTGTACAGGTAATACAGGGGCGTTTTTAGAGAATTTCAGCAGAGGAGAGTCCTGGGTGGACACAACGTCATCTTTGGGATGAGGTCTTGGATGATTAGAGTAGGGTGCGGCCAAAACGGAACAAAGATACGCTCTGCGCGAATCCCCTCATAGGCGTAGGAGCCGGGGGGGGGGGGGAGAGGCAGATTCGGTGAACCGTGCATTTTTCGGGCAATGTATTTCCTTTTTTGTGGGCACAAACATCAAGGAATGGGGAACATTAAGTCGTTTTTACTTAACATATTGTAAATTTATATTGTAGTGTAATTGTGTAATTAATTCAAAATAAACAACCATCACAGCTTTGTGAAAAATTCGTTTTAGTTAATGATCGATTAACTCAGGTTACGCAGAGAGATTAAAATGAGTGTTATGTTTTAATAATATTCATGTCAACAGCTGAATTTTATCTCAAGAACGATAACGTCGCTAGACATAAATTATATAGCAAACAGTAACACGGAAGCTCTGACAATAAATATTTTTACTTTTCTATTTATAAGATTGTAAAAAAAAATATTGTCAGAGAGAGAGAGAGAGAGAGAGAGAGAGAGTTATCGTCCACATATGATTCAATTTTATTTCAATAATTCTCTTGTGGGAATTGGTCTTTGGTAGTCGGAAGAAAGACCTGGAGAAAACCAACAAAGGAAGCTGGACGGCGACCCTACGCCTTGTCACGTACAAGCTGAAAATTGAAATCACCCCACTTGACCGAATGACAGACCTTACCATCTAAAGTACACGCGTTAGACAATTAATTTAGTTCCAGACCCGTATAGTATAGAGGCTGATTATAGGCAGAGATCTTCCCTATTGAATCCCCACCCTCACACACGAAGATTTCAGAAAAGGTCTTATTTGGAATTTGCATATTAAAGGCTCAATACCACTCTTGTTGTAACTGAATAATATGTCCCAATCTTTATTCTGGTCAACAAATTGTACTATTTTAGAATATTTCAATTAATTGATGATACAAATTTCATCTTAACACACTTTATTTAAAAATTTTGACAAATTCAACATAATGATTTGAAACGTCTAACGTAAACCTTTTCAAATGAAACTTCGATTTAAAAATATTTTCGAACCCTCTGGACAAGTAAAATAGAATGTAATGGATAATTTACACAACAGGTAGGACACTTAAACATTTAGTACTTAGATAGAGATATTATTTATTTTCTGGAGCTTTCAAGCCAGCAAGAGTGTTATTGTCCCTTTACAGTGTTTTAATTATACCGCCCAAGTGATAATGTACACTATAATAATACACCCGACAAATTACCTTGTGAATATTAATAATTTAGTATAACAATGGCTGCCCTTTCTAGAAAGCTACCCCTAGCAGCGAGTATGACCTATTTTCTCATTAGATAACAGTATATAATTTAAAAGCACGATTGCTATTCGTGTATATATCTATATCCAGTGGCCTAGACCTGCGTCTCCAAACCTGGGGTCAACGGACCCCGAAAACCGTGATACGAATTTAGAAGTCCTCGAAGTCAGGGAGTACGCGGGGAAACAGGGGCCCACGAAAAAAGATGGTTTATTCGATCTTTGAGTTCCATTAACGTATACCAGAGTTAATTAATAGGACTGGCGATCAGTTTGCTATGGGTTGGTGTGCCACGTTTTTGATCAAAACGGCCATGTTAAAAGTCATAGCGACCCAAACACGGGCAATATGGCTTAACAGAATACATGCATATTTGGTGGGTCCTCGAAGATTTGTAAAATGTTTCAAAGGGTCCATGAGTTGAAAGTGGTTGGGGGCCACTATGTGTCTCAATAATTATTTGTTGTAATTTACTGGATTCAGGGGGTGGGGGTGGATGACCGAATGGTTAGCACGTGCGTGTTGTATCATTAGGTATGTAATTGAGTCAACTGGCGTGGTTTCGATTCCCCGGTTGTACGTGACAAGGCGTAGGGTCGCCTGTCCAACTACGTGGGATTTCTCCGGGTTCTCCGGTTTCCACCCACTGGATTCGGCAGTCACACAAGCCTTTAAAGATTGTAATACCTTTTTTGTAGAGATTATGTCTACCCTTTATTACTTAGATGCTATCTTTGTACGCATGTCTCGTGGTCTAAAATATATATTATACTCCACCCCTACCCCCACACCAAACACGAAAATCAATATGACGGGGACAAGCTTTCCGTAATCCAAGGGGTGACGCTCTTTGAAAATGCCTAAGGCTCCGTCAATTGAATTGCCATGAAAATTGGCATGTTTCTTCTTTGAACAACTCTGCATCGATTTGGCGAATTAGTTTTTTCAATTTCATTTAACAACTTGGTCAGTTCCTGGTCCATAGTACGATCGTACTTATTGTTTAGGATAATATACCTTTTAGTACAGGAATGGCCGATCCCTGAGGCTTGCGCCGAATTTGGCGCTATGGATGATATCAAGTAGCATTCTCGTGATAATAATAAAGTAAGGCAGTAGACCTACTTATTATTTTTAGCGATTTTATAATTTCGTGCACATCCTTTTTAACCAATGTTATATAGTGAATGGCCCATGTGCTGTACTTGATAACGAAAGGTAAATTTCACCTACATGTACACACTACTTTTATAAAATAAAAGTCTGGTTTTATCCAGACACCGCATAATGCAGCTTGGGACACAGGTCTCCATTTCCAGATGACGACTGGCGGGATCAAGTTGTTGGAAAACGTATCACAAATATTGAGTTTGTTGTTCGGTCCTAAGGTAGAGGATTTTAAGGAATTTTAACACAAAATTAAGCAGTTTTAATCTCCAAAATATTATCGGGATTGGCCCTTTAAAGACTCAAACTAGGAAATATTGACATTTTTTCTGCAGTCGCTCTGTAAAAAACGATTATATTAGGGATGTTTTATACACATAACTGGTTCATGTCCATGATATACATTATTCAGTGACATGGCATTACTGGCATACATCGGGGGACGATAAATCTATTACCAAATGCACACCACCCATGACAACTGAGAAGCGGGCAAAACACTTCTCACAAGGTCGCCAGTGAAAAATAAACCTGCTAAAAACTCCAGAATTTTGAAAGGCTGTCAATAAGACTCTGATGTTCGTAGATTTTGAATGGTAAAGCTTTTCATAAATTAGGCAGGAATGTAATAAGATTGGTAGTATTATTGCTCTTTAAATTAATAGCATTATATTAACTATGCTTTAACTAATTATTGGTTTCAAATTATAGAGAAGTCATATCCCACGCACTCAAATGAATGCGTGGTGTGGTTGACCCATAACACGATTAATAAAACCAAAACGTAGCTGGTTCCGTGTGAAAACAAAATATCACCAGATCACTTATGGTAGGAAAATTACCATTGCATCATTTGGCTTAGTGACCAATAATTAAAATTAATTACGTCATATTTGACCAATTAGATAGTTGAAAGCCAAAACCAAAGGTAGAAAATATTCAGATCTCTGGCCGATCGACAGACGGCCGCTAGATTCTTAGAAGGAGACGATGTAGCAATTTCTATCAGCAGGATGGAGAATGACTTTATTGTAATCTATGCTTGTAACCTATGTATCCAGTGTAGAAACGAGCTGTTTCATTGTTATTCCTGGTAAGATTAATGTCTTAACGACTGAGATAAAAAAATATATATATACACAGCGTGAGTCCTAGCCATAAGAAGAGAATTACAAATATAACCAGAGACAATAATAAACGATCACAAGGCTATAAAAATATGTAGCAGAGAAGAGAGAATGCGTCACACGTTGGATGTGGGGAGTTTTTGGCTTACTGGCTTTCCTAATATACTCTTCAAAAAAAAATTCAGAAACAATACAAAACTGCGGAAATGCACTGCTTTTTTTATTAGAGGTAACCAGTGTATGTTAATAACAGGCCAATTGCTTACACATGAACATAAGCAGTTCAAATGGGCGGCTTATCTGACGGCCACATTTCACTCGCAAAGAGATACACTTTAAAAAAATGAAATTGGATGTTTTTTAAATTTGTCTTAATAATGAGTAATTGCTTCACCAATCCTCAGACATTCAGCAATTTGTCGTGGCATGCTCCAAATCAACCGTCCAATCACGATTTGGCGCAATCTGACCCACCCCTCTTGCAGTGCCACGGCCAATTCTTGCCTCGTTGTCGGTAGACGTTGACGTCGACGAACACGTCTCCCGATCATGTCCCAGACATGCTCTATAGGGGAAAGGTCAGGACTCATGGCTGGCCAAGGCATATGGACAATATGGTGACGCTGGAGGTAGTCATCCACGATACCAGTGCGGTGGGCACGGGCATTATCATCTTGAAAGATGAAACGTCGACCTGCTGCACATTGAGCAAAGGGCAGAACTATCGGTGCCAGTATGTGGTCACGGTAGTACACACCAGTGACCCTTCCTTGAACAATATGCAATTCCGTTCTGACAGTCATGGTGAATCCTCCCCACACCATAACATACCAACGCCCGAATCTGTTATGCTGTCTGGCGTTAACGTTAGCATGACGCTCATTTACACGCCTCCAAACGCGAGCACGCCTATCGGTGAAATCCAGACTAAATCTGGACTCATCTGAGAACATTACACGCGCCCATCGACGATTACCCCAATTTCTACGCTGCCTACACCGTTGGTGACTGTTTGCCATGTGCTGGCGAGTTAATGGAGGCACAACACGCGGTCGTCGCGCATGCAAATGGGCTGCATGTAGCCGATTTCTAATCGTTTGGGGTGGAACTCGAATTTCTGTACAAGTTTACAGAAAGCTGATTGGCCGTTTGTCCTCGATTTCGCAGGACCTGTGTACGAATGTATCATTCCCGGGCTTGTGTAGTTGCTCTAAGACGACCAGAACGAGGTCTATCATCAGCATTGTGTGTTTGTTGGTATCGATTGCATAGTCTGCTGATCACAGACTGTGACAAATTAAGCATGTTGGCTACTGCTCGCTGTGTAGAACCCATTTGAAGCATGCCAATAGCACGTAGACGTTCATCATGTTGAAGACGTCTCATTGCAAATTAAACGTAACACACTAAAGCAAAGATACGCTAAACAGTAAATCTTATGCACGAACCGATAGGAAAGCAAACAGGGAAAGGATAAACCAACACGCGGCAGTTTTCATCAACCCTTCCTTGAAGTGTCAAATTTGACAATGAACCCCTCCCACGTGTATGGCGCTATTGCGTGTCGCATGTGCAGCTCAGTGGTTCTGTTGGGGCGATAAGTTCTTCATCTGTGAACATACTCTCAAAGCATGTTAAGTGTCCAT